GGAGAATATAAATTATTCTAATTCATCATATTCATATGGATATACAAGTAAGTAACCACCTTATTGTCCTTATCCCAACATAAATCACATGATTATGGAATATTATGACTTTTGCAGCAAAAACACACCTCAAATTCTTCAATTCTTGGAAATATTTGGCAGTGACATATACACTTTAATACCTTTAATTATTGTCAGAAACTTAGAAGATAATACGTACGTATGTAACACTGCATAATTGCTCTGTTTTCTAAATAACAAAAGTTACGCGTGAGAGAGTATAAAAAAGAGACCCTTTGCAACTTTCTTCTCTTCTACTTTCTTTTCTCACCAAATTATTCTCCTTTTTCTTGAATTTTCGATATGATTTAAGGAGGGAAAATTAAGGAGTGAGAAGAAATGTTGACTACTCATATATTCTTTTCTCGTGTTCTTACGACAATATTAAAACAAAAATTAGTGCTTTTGTCTTATTTGGGCGATAATGTCTAGACAAGATTATTATTAAATACTATTCTTCGATTTTTCTCGTTTTTGGGTTAATTACAATGCAAAGAGTACACAATAAACCCATCAGAAATTCTCCGTCGTCTGTTATTAAACATCTGATCAACGACGGCGGAGGAGTGACGGCGGCAGAAATGCAAGAACCGAGCATCGAGACTGATAAGCTAAGCTACGAAATTTTCTCGATTCTCGAAAGCAAGTTCCTTTTCGGGTACGACGACCCGAAACTCATGGATTCACGGAGCAGAGACCCGAGCCCGGAGCAAGAATCATCACCGGCGGTTTCCGAAGCCGTCGTCGCTCCGGGATCAATCAAGAACCAGAGAGGTAAAATCTGTGTTTTGAGCATCGACGGTGGTGGAATGAGAGGGATTATACCCGGAAAAGCTTTGGCTTATTTGGAACACGCATTGAAATCAAAATCCGGTGACCCGAATGCCCGAATCGCCGATTACTTCGACGTAGCTTCCGGTTCGGGTATCGGAGGAATTTTCACGGCGATGCTTTTCGCGTCGAACGACGGAGACCGTCCGATCTTCAAAGCGGAGGACACGTGGCGGTTTTTAGCGAAGAAAGGAAAAAGCTTTTACAAATCACCACCGGGGATCTTAAACCGGGTTATGAAAACCGGGTCGGGTTCTAAGCTTGAGAAAACGATGAAGGAATCGTTCGGTGAGCTTACGCTTAAAGACACGGTTAAACCGGTTTTGATTCCTTGTTACGACTTAACCAGCTCTGCACCGTTCCTATTCTCACGTGCCGATGCGTTGGAGACGGACGGTTATGATTTCAAGCTATGGGAAGTTTGTAGAGCTACTTGGGCTGAACCAGGAGTGTTTGAACCGGTCGAGATGAGATCGGTTGATGGTAAGACCCGGTGCGTTGCGGTTGATGGTGGTTTAGCAATGAGTAATCCGACGGCTGCAGCGATTACGCACGTGTTGCATAATAAGCAAGAGTTTCCTTTTGTTAGAGGTGTTGAGGATTTGCTTGTGTTGTCTCTTGGTACGGGACAGTTGGTTGATGTTAAGTATGATTGTGATAAGGTTATGAAGTGGAAGGGTAAGCATTGGGCTCGACCCGCGGTTCGGATTTCCGCGGATGGAGCCGCGGAGACTGTGGACCAGGGGGTTTCTATGGCGTTTGGTCAGTGTAGAAGGAGTAACTATGTCCGTATTCAGGTAAATGTTTATGTTGGTTATTTATCAATTTATTTAGTTCTGATTGGTAACATTGCGTAATCGCGGAAAATGAGAAAAAAAAGTTAGGCGGAATTAAGTGGTTGGGATGGAATTAACGAGAAAAACTTGATTTCGCGGTTATATTTGTTAGAAATTTCGTGTAATGGAAAGCGCGATGCCAAAATAAATGTCATTGGTGAAAACCTGTAGAATGTTGATATGAGATTTGGGTGGTGTTATAGGCGAATGGGTCAAGCTTTGGTCCGTGCAAACCAAACATAGACACAGATGCGAGTCCGAGCAATGTGAATATGCTTGTAGGAGTAGCAGAAGAGATGCTGAAGCAAAAGAACGTGGAATCGGTTCTGTTTGGTGGTAAAAAGATCAATGAAGAAAGCAATTTTGAGAAGCTGGATTGGTTAGCCGGTGAACTCGTGCTCGAACACCAGAGGAGGAGCTACAGAATCGCTCCCACTGTAGCGTTCAAGCAATCCGGCGATCGAAGAACTGATCAGGAGACGATTTTTAAGGATATTGATTGTATGTTTTAAAGGTTTTAAATTGTATAGCTTTATGTCTAAATTCCAAGAAGAAGAAAGCGAACATCATATTATAAACCCTAAGTTGTGTTATTTTTGTTATGTCAAAATGTTATTTTCATTGACTTAAAATGAGCTTCTTTATAAAAAAAACTTTGGAATACACATATACAATGGATAATCAACAATAAGACTAAAATTAAAGATTAACAAAGCCAAACCTCTATAATCCCATGGATTAATCAAATCAAATTTAGCTTAATTGAAGGAGATTAATTACTTTAGCACCCCTGATCATTTCAACTCTGTTTGTTACAGAGTCATTGACTCTGAAAATTAGAAACATCATGATTCCTATCAAATTTGGTTTTTCCTTATATTTCAATTTGTATTCTCTTAATTGAATTTTTTTGTAGAAAAGAAAAGATATGCAATGAGACCAAATCTCTTTTTGTAATGATTTGATTTAACGTAATTTGTATGATGTGAACTTGGGAGCGAAATGAATAGAACGTATCAAGAAGTTGATATGAAATCATATTCATTGGGCCTAAAGAAAAGTCACAATATTCCTGATTTTATAATAATAACTTCATTTTTTTTCTCGAAATCCGTTATTTTATCGCTCAAACTTGAGGTGGTTTTTACC